CAATGGGAGTTTACTGGGGCGTGGTTAATACCTCCCCACCTCCGTGCTGCAAGTGGAGCTATGATTCACCTCATTATAGTTGGGAGAAATTGCTCCGGCCTGGTGATTGCAACCTTCCTTATCGCACTAAACTGGGTGGATCGGTGTAATACCGATGACAGCATGACAGTGATCTCAGGGGCTGGGCAAAAATCAATTTTTGTCCTTGGCCCATATACATAAAAATACATATGGCGTTCCCCACGTTAAAACGATCTTGTGCCACATCCACGCTTGGTGAGGATACCGGGTAAATATATACCTGTGCTTTAATTTGAAATATTATATCTCATGTGGAACAAAGCCAGAAGAAGGAATGGAGAAAGGCTGGTCGTCACTGACTCTCCTACACCAGGTTTACGTTCCATTCATTCATTGCAATTTACCCGTACACCTCAAGAACACATTCATCGCCATTCAATTCAACATATACCACAATACCGCATATTCACAGGGATCCTATTAAAACAACCATGGCATGAAAATATATACAATTTTTTTTTTTTAATAAAAATATATAAAATTATGACATGTAATGAGCGGGGAGGGGATGTAGCTAATAACAAAAATAAAATACAACAAAACGTTCAAGCTAAAATTGAAATATGTTAGTAGAACCCGTCCACTCCACAGAAAAATAAGAATGCCTACTGTCTTCTGCCGCTCAGCAAAATCAAGCCACTCACTCGGAGCAAGGAGAGACAAAATAAATTTTGGAGTGGATAATTATCAAAGGCTGATCCAGTCAAAATAAAAAGAGGACGGAAATGAAAAACAAACTGGAGATGGGGTGTTGTGAATCTTGACATATATCATAACAAAAGAAAATGCCGGGAGTAGACCCGGAACAACAATTACTCACATTAACTAAGTAAACAAAAGAGACTAGCTTTATCAGAGGAGGGGCCCAACAGGAAACCTTGCCGTTGTTTGAAAAGGCTAGTAAAAAAGAAACCACGTCCCATGTTAAAAACTGGCCTTGTGCCACATCTTGCCTTGTAGGGAGGTTGGTAAATAGAAAGGACATAAGAGGGAGTGGAAAGGCTAGTTGTCACTGAATATCCTACTCTTATTTAATCTGGTTCACGGCCCATTCATTCGTTATAATTTACTCGTACATCACCAGAACACATTTATCGCCATTCAGTTCGTCATATACCACAATACCGCATATTGACAGGGATCCTACTAAAACACTCATGATATGAAATTTCACATTATATACAATTCAATTTTTTCTTCTTTTTTTTCTTTTATTTCTTATAAAAAAATATAAAAACGAGCTTAAAACTGTTCTCTCGAGTGGTATTTAAGCTAGCTCCTGTAATCCACTAGCTCGAGTGGCTCTTGGGCTTTGTACATAAAAAAGGACAAATAATAAAATGAAGTGGAAAGTCTATATGTCCGGAGCGTTTTGAGAAAAAGGCACAATAATAAGATGGATTAAAACTAATAATAAAATTATAGTAATTAATCTAGCATGCATCGAGTGTTTGGTGTGTGTGTGTGTGTGTGGGGGGGGGGCAAATGATAAAATTGACTAAAATTAGTAATAAAATAATAGAAATAATGAATACGGTATCGATCCAGGTAGTTGAAATGAAAAGCAACAATAATAAAATGAAATTAAAATAAAAAGATTGAAAATCGTTATTTTAAAAAGGAATATAAAAAGAAAAAAAGTTCGTATGCAAGGAAAATGACGAACGAACATCTAAATTTAATGTCAGATGTGAATAGATGCTAGAGAAGATATTTTTCCCTTCTGTTCATATTTGAAAAATCGAAAATTGGTTTCGGCAAAAATGTTTTGCATCCTAAGCAAATTGGTTTTTAACAAGTCGGCAACATCAAAAAGAGTGGTAGAAAAAAAGATGTCGATATTTTCCGTTTGTCACGTTCACTTCATTAAAAGTGAACGGACGCCATTTTGGGAGGATGAAAACAAAAATAAATTCAAATAAAATAAGGAAAAAAAAACAGAAGAGTAAAAAAATCAATTTATCAGATCATGAACTTATTTAATCTATCTATCTATCTATCTATCTATCTATCTATCTATCTATCTATCTATCTATCTACTTCAGTTTGTTCATTATCTATCTATTTCAGTTTGTTCATTATCTATCTATCTATCTATCTATCTATCTATCTATCAGTTTGTTATCTATCTATCATCTACTTCAGTTTTGTTAATTATCTATCTATCTATCTATCTATCTATCTATCTATTTCAGTTTGTTCATTATCTATCTATCTATCTATCTATCTATCTATCTTCATCTATCTATCTATCTATCTATCTATCTATCTCTCAGTCCGTATCTCATCTATCTATCTATCTATCTATCTATCTATCTATCTATCTCAGTCTATCTATCTATCTATCTATCTATCTATCTATCTATCTATCTATCTATCTATCTATCTATCTATCTATCTATCTATCTCATCCGTACTCTATCTATCTATCTATCTATCTATCTATCTATCTAAGTCCGTACTCTATCTATCTATCTATCTATCTATCTATCTATCTATCTATCTATCCTATCTATCTATCTATCTATCTATCTATCCTTGCATTTTAATGGTATCTATCTATCTATCTATCTATCTATCTATCTATCTATCTATCTATCTATCTTACGCTGTCTCCCTTTTTCATGATATTTTTGTTTTGTTTTTCTAAACATCTCTCCTTTGTCTAAATCCATCCACCCTCTTCATATATATATTTTTAAAATGTTCGAATTCTCTCACATCTTTACTTTTTTTTTTTTATTAGTTACCTCCTTTGGTTATTTTTGTCTGACTTGCTTTCTCCACTTATTACTTTCCTTTCTTATTTTCTATTGAATTTCCCTAGTTTCTTTTCCCACTCTTCTTCTTTTTCTTCTTCTTCTTCTTCTTCTTCCTTTTCTTCTTCCTCCTCCTTCTTCTTCTTCTTCATTTATACTCACCTCTTTCTCTTCGTTATTTTCTTCGTTTCCCTTTTGCTGTTGTTGTTCATCTTCTTTTCTTCTTCTTCTTGTATATTTTATATTCATTTTATATCTCATTACTTCGTTTTTCATATCCTTTTTCTTCTTCTTGTCAAATTCTATCAATATTTCCCGTGATTCCTACTTCTTTGAATGGAATTATTCTCGCCTGTTCCTCTTTCAAGATGGCGTGTGCAAACGCATCACGCTCTATTATCCAGTATTCAACCGAAATCCATTCGACTGAACGGATTCTTTAGCATTTATAATTATTTTTTTCTTTTTCAATCGAAGAATCAGAAAAAATAAAAATCGAATGAGAAAAGAAACGAGTTAACCGCCTCCATAAGACAGACAATGAAACGTCGCGAAAAAGCAGCGAACAAACCAAAAGAATAACCCACTCATAAAATAATATAAAACATCGCATAAACGCATCCATTATTATTATTATTATCATTGTTAGTTCACTGGGTACAAGGCCAAAGAGCCACTTAAAGTAGAGGGTTACTTAGTGAGATTGTTGTAAGGGAAGAGTAGGATAGATATCGGTTAACATTGAACGTAAAGAGAGCAAAATTGTAGTTGTTAGGGAAGCATTCTCGTGGGAGTTTATTCCACAATAGAACAGGTCAATGGAAGAAGCAATCTGAGTGGAACTTGCTTTTTATCAATGGAATCCAAAGAGAATAGGAATGGTTTCCTACCGGGAACACGATATGACGTCTCCCATATTATTATTATTATTATTGTTGTTCTTATTTTCTTCGATTTATGCGTTGATACAATTTATATGTTTATACATTCTTTTTTATAGATACAAATATTTAGGTAAATGCTCTGTTTCTAATAAACAGTATTAACAACATTTACCGGCCTGAATGTCCGAGAAATTTCCATAGAAAATATTCTATACGGAACCGTCATATAGCCTGACGTGTTTTTACCGATTGAGCCACAGAAGATCGTTCGGTTAGTAAGATCGATTTTACTGTTTGTAAACTACAATCTTCCATGAATCTCTCACGTACATTCATATTTGCTCAATGCGTATCCAAATGTAAACAAATGACGTCACACATTATGAAATGGACAAAGACATTTTAAGACATTTTTTTATACATTTTTTTTTTTTTTATAGATACAAATATTTAAGTAAATGCTCTGTTTATAATAAACAGTAAACAACATTTACCGGCCTGAATGTCCGAGAAATTTTCACAGAAAATATTCGTCTTCCGGCAGGATTCGAACCTGTATCCTATACGGAACCGTCATTTAGCTTGACGTGCCTTTACCGATTTGGCCACGAATAAAAATGTCTTAAAAATAATTGTCGGACTTTGTCCATTTCATAATGTGTGACGTCATTTGTTTACATTTGATACGCCATGAGCAGATATGAATGTACGTGAGAGATTCATGGAAGATTGAAGTTTATAAGCAGTAAAATCAACCTTGCCAGTCGAACGATTCTCCGTTGCTCGATCGGTTAAGGCACGTCAGGCTAAATGACGGTTCCGTATAGGATACAGGTTTGATTCCTGTCAGAGGGTGAATATTTTCTGTGAAAATTTCTCGGTCATTCAGGCCGATAAATGCTGTTTAATACTGTTTATTATAAACAGAGCATTTACTTAAATATTTGTATCTATAAAAAAAATGTTAAACATAAAAATGTCTTAAAACTATGTCTTTTATATATAGATAATATGTTAGGTGGACTTATCCAACTGGTAAGTGAAATAGCGCTAAGTAGCTTGTACCTTTAAAACTATCGGCAACAGGTACCGTTGGCGGTGCAGAGAATTTCTTCCACGTTACCTCAGAGCAGATCCTGTCTTTTCTCTTGTGGTGAGCCTTTATCTGAACCCACGTGGTTTTATTAACCAATGAGAGACCGCCGAACATCATGTGACTAATCTCTCTATATAGGAGCAGACGAATTTTTACAAACTCAACAGGTCTATCACGTAGCTTACAACACCTAGTATTCCCCAGCGGTTACCAATTTGAGTACTGACCAGACTCGATGTTGCTTAACATTGTTGGTCGGACGAGAGCTGGTGTTTCAACGTGATATGGCCGTAATTTTTCAACTTTTAAAATGTTTTTAATTATGCACACAGTCCTGCACTTGACACGAAGAGAAGCCAATTCAACAAATGATGATAAATGAAGAAGCCGGAGGTAAAAGAAACTTGGCGAAACACGTTGTTTACAGCCTTTTCACTTTGTCTTATTATCTTCATACACACACAAACACACGCGCAGGCATTTTTAAAATCAATTCACGCTAAGGTGATAATGCGGCTAAGACGCAAGGAGGCTACTGGGAAAGAAGAAGAAGAAAACTTTAGAAGGAAGCTGAAAACCAATCCTGGATCTGGAAGCATAGATAAACGTACCCGCAATCAGACTTGAGTTTCAAAGGGACGTTTTTTCCCATGACACCGTTTTTTTTTTAACTTCCTTCACTCTTCGGCAACGTTTATTGTTATCAAGAGCGATGATTAGAATTGGAATAAAAAATATATATATAATAAAATATATATATATATATATATATATATATATATATATATATGATGAAAGTGAAATTATACATTTTTTGTTCTTGAGAATTGACATCAAGAATATTAAACAGTATTTATTTATTAGATTTTTTATTTACAAGAATAACTTTATATTTACAACATTCTAAAAACTAAGCTTAAAATTAAAACTAATTCAATGCAATATTTATCATTTAACAATTTATAAAGAAATAAATACGAAAAAAAAATTATTCATAAATTTATAAACACTTATTAAATTATTAAAATATGTGAACCAACTGTAAGTAAATTCTTATTATTTAACATTTGAGGAAGCTTGAATCGATTGGCAATTTGCCGATGTTTTGCCAACTCTTCCAATAGATTATATAATAAATAAATAGGGTAAAAATGTGTATCTTACTTATTATAAAACGCAGATTGTGTGTGTGTGTCTGTACGTTTATGTATTGGATCGGATTTCCTACATTTTTCAACCAATTTCAACAAAACTTCACAGGACTACGTATAATTACCTTGCAGCGGTTCTGACAGCACCAAAAATAGGAAAAAAACAATTGTTTTTGTACGAAATCAATTTGAAAACATGATTAAGAGGCATTAATGAAAACATGATTAAGAGGCATTAATACGTACAACTCTCATATAGAGTTATACGTATTAATATTGAGTTATAGAGTTACACTTATTATAAAACCCAGGTTTGTTTGTGTGTGTGTGTGTGTGTTCCTTTATATATGGGATCGGATTTCCTACATTTTTCAACCGATTTCAACAAAACTTAACTTTTTTTTTTGGCAGGTAGTGTTTCTTATTGTCTTGTACACTTTTTTCTTTATTTTTACATATAGAATGCTTTAAAAATTCCATTTACAAGACAATTGTTTATAATAAAATTCTATTCAATCATAGACTCATAACGATTGAAAACAATGTTTTAGTTTGAGTTTCACCAATTTGTAAAAAAAAAAAAAAAAAAAAAAACTAATTAAGACATGCGTGTCCGTCAACCTTAAACAATAATCTTTGTCAATTTTATTTTCCAGTCTTTATGATGGTTGATACTTGATCTATCTCTTACTGTTATATCCCCGGGCAACGCCGGACTCTACTGCTAGTCGTGAATAAAAATATGATATTTTGGTGAAAGGCTGATTGTCTTTATATAGCTCGTCTTTATATAATGCAACTCCAGCTTCGAAGGAATACAAGTAGGCCTACTGTAGTCAAATATTAGAGTCTTGGTCATCACCCTGGACATATTTTATAGCAAATAAATGATCTTCATTCTTTTGTAATGTCAGTGAATACTCGTTGTCACTTTTGTAATATGGGGGATAATTTTCTTAATAATAACCGAACTTTTTTTTCATGATTTCAATGCAAAGAATCCTTTTTGAAGATTCCTTCGTATTTTCTATAATAAACTGGAAAAAGTTATCCCTTCATCTGGATTGTACATAAATTCGCTGATTGAATTAGCAACAGCATCTGGATTGAATAAATCTGAAGTTTTTCCTTCCATCGTTTTAATAAACAACTCAAAAAACCTCTGTTGTTGTTGTTGCAATTGTAATTGCTGTTCATGTTGTTGTCTTTGTTGCTGCAATAGGTGTTCTTGTTGTTTTTGTTGCTGCAACTATTGTTCTTGTTGTTGCTTTTGTAGCACCAACACTTAAATCATGATAGCTTTTAATTCTTCCATTACGTTGTACTCTGCTGAATATTTTGCAGATTAATTTTCCCTCGTGTAAATCGAACTAATCCTCGTGTAAATCGAACTAATCCTCGTGTAAATTGGACTAATCCTCGTGTAAATTGGACTAATCCTCGTGTAAATCGAACTAATCCTCGTGTAAATCGAACTAATCCTCGTGTAAATTGGACTAATCCTCGTGTAAATTGGACTAATCCTCGTGTAAATTGGACTAATCCTCGTCGCCACTTTTGTGATGTCAACGAACACTCGTTGCCACATTTGTAATGTCAGCAAATACTCGTCACTTTTGTAATGTACACTGTAGTAGAGCCTTTGTAATCGCAGTTACAACTATAATAGTAACGCCCTTGAACAATACTGGTGTCAGACGCCTTCGAATAACACTCGCACTAATAGTACTTGCTCGATAATACTCGCTCGAATAGTAATCACTGAATAGTGACCCAAATAGTAATCCGTATAGTGATCAATATAGAGAAATGGTATAGTGATCAATATAGAGAAATGGTATAGTGATCAATATAGAGAAATGGTATAGTGATCAATATAGAGAAATAGTATAGTGATCAATATAGAGAAATGGTATAGTGATCAATATAGAGAAATGGTATAGTGATCAATATAGAGAAATGGTATAGTGATCAATATAGAGAAATAGTATAGTGATCAATATAGAGAAATGGTATAGTGAATATTATAGAGAATAGCGATCCGTATAGTAATAGAGGATAGACTAGAAATAGTGATCAATTAGACGCTAATTCCCATATATACATTTCCTTTATTAACACGTGATCTACTTATTCAAAATGGGATCACCTGTGTTTGTCGCTCATGATCTGTGTTCAAACTCCGGTGTCGGCAGCGACACTTTATTCCAATATAAAACCTCCCCTTTGAGACGATTTCCTCGGTTTAATATTCAAATGTTCCGTTGCTGTTCTTTTTCTTTTATTGTCCCTCCTTGGTTCACTAATTTCTGGTGGCGTGGGTATGTCAAACGTCATACAATATTTCCATTGGTACCTACTAAATCAGTAAATCTCTGTTTTAACTGATTAATGTGTCGCTTATATTCTCACCTTTGTCCCTGTACCATGTATGTTATTTCCTTTGTCATCACGTGATCAAAATCGGATCGCCTGTTTTCTCTCTGGTGATCTGTGTTCAAACCCAAGTGGCGGCAGCGACACTTTATTCCTATATAACACATTCTTTTTTGTACAAAGCTTCACCAAAATGATAAGAAAAACCACTTACCGTAAAATATCTGATACAATAATTTAGATACCGTACTTTTGTTTGCGTTTATACCGAACCATAGAAAGTGCTTTATCTAGGGCCTGTCTCCTACTGAAACATATACGGTATAAATTCACATCAGACAAAAGAGGCGCCGTTCGAAAAACAATACCTCAGAGATGTCAATACGTGTGAATGAAGATGAACGCAAATTGGAGGAAGAAAAAAAAACTTCATTAATAAACTTTAATTCTTTGTTTGTAGAAGATATTTGTAGATTTTAAGCGGCACACAGTGAATGACGTTCTGCTGTTCATATAGCAGCAGAAAGAAAGAATCTAGGCTATGAGAGGCAGCCTAAAGGAATTTGGCTGTACCATTAAGATTAGACAAAGGTACCGTAAAAATCTAGGTCTACCAGGTAGGTTACAGTCAGCGAAAATGTATGAATTTTAAACCCTCCAGAAAAATTTGTCTGGGTCTAGAGTAACCGGTCAGCGAAAATGTATGAATTTTAACGCCACCCGCCAAATTATCGGGGTATAGTGCAATCGGTCAGAGTAAATGTATGAATTTTAACCCCTCCAGAAAAAAAAAAAACAAAAAACTGTGTGGGTATAGTGTAACCATTCAGCGAAAATGTATGAATTTTAACCCCTCCAAAAAAATTGTCTGGGTCTAGAGCAACCAGTCAGCGAAAATGTATGAATTTTAACCCCACCAGAAAAAAATTGTCTGGGTCTAGAGCAACCAGTCAGCGAAAATGTATGAATTTTTACCCCACCAGGAAAAATTGTCTGGGTCTAGAGCAACCAGTCAGCGAAAATGTATGAATTTTAACCCCTCCAAAAAAATTGTCTGGGTCTAGAGCAACCAGTCAGCGAAAATGTATGAATTTCAATCTCTTCAAATAATGTTCTGTGTATAGTCTGAGTCCTTATATTTTGTGTAAAAACTAATCATAAAAAATAACACCACACATGAGTTTGTTTCCGTTACATAATTTGTTTCATTTTACAACATATCAATTTCTGTGGGGTTATTCAATGTCGAATATAAATCTCGTCGACATAGTCTGGCTTACACTTGAAATAAAAAGATGCACACGGGTGCAGTTTGCACTGGAGTCAGAAAAAGTATGTATAGGGTTGGTTTACGTTAGCGCAAAAATAGTAGACAGATCCAAATTGCAAAAAAGTAAAAGAGTTAGACGTAGGTTCAGTTTACGCATGATTCAAAAAGGTAGATATATCTTCGGTTTGCACTTGTCAAAAACATAGCTATAGGTACAGATTACGCTTGACTTAAGAACGTAGACATCGGTCCAGTTCATGCTAGACTCAAAAAGGTAGTCATAGGACCGGGTTACGCTTGATTAAAAAATGTAGGCATAGGTCCGGATTATGCTTCACTCAAAAATCTTTCATATCCAGTACACGCTTGACTAAAATAGGTGGGAATAGGTCCGGTTTACGCTTCCCTAAAAAATGTGGGCATAGGTCCAGTTCAAGATTGACACAAAAAAGGTAGGCATAGGTGCACTTTACACTTGACTCAAAAAAGTAGGCATATGTCCGTTTCATGCTTGATTCAAAATGCTAGGCACGGGACCGGTTTACACTTGACTCAAAATGTTAGGCATAGTTCACGATTAAGTCAAAAAAGTAAGCATATGTCCCATTTATGCTTGATTCAAAAAGGTGGCCATAGACCCGGTTTACGCTTGACTAAAACAAATAGGCATAGGCTCGGTTTACGCAGAAACTCAGAAAAGTAGGCATAACTCCGGTTCATGCTTGACTCAAAAAGTTCGGCATAGATCTGGTTCGCACTTTATTAAAAAAGATAGGCATAGGTCCTGTTTACGCTTGACTCGGAAAGGCAGGAATAGATCCGGTTCACGGTTGAGTCAAAAAGGTAGGCATAGGCACGGTTTACACTTGAGTCAAAAAGGTAGGCATGGGTCCGGTATACGCTTCACTCAGAAATGTTGGCATAAGTCCTGTTCAAAATTGACTCAGAATGTAGAGATATTTGCACTTTATACTTGACTCAAAAAGGTAGGCATAGGTCCATTTCATGCTTGATTCAAGATGCTAGGCATGGGACTGGTTTACACTTGGATTTAAAATGTAGGCATCGATACGGTTTACTCTTGACTGAAAAAGGTAGGCATGTCAGGTTTATGCTTTACTCAAAAAGTTAGGCATGGGTCCGGTTTACGCTTGACTCAAAAAGGTGGGCATAGATCCAATTCATTCTTGAATCAAAAAGTAGACCATTGGTCCGGTTTACACTTAACACAAAAAGTGGGCATATGTCTGGCTTACGCTTGACTCTAAAAGGTGTGCATATGTTCGGTTTACGCTTGACTCAAAACAGTGGGCATATACCCGTTTTATTTTTGACTCAAAAAGGTGGGCATTGGCTCGATTCACGCTTTAGTCAAAAGTTAGGTATAGGTCTGGTTTACACTTGACACAAAAAGGTATGCATCGCTCTGGTCTTCGCTTGACCCAAAAAACTACGCATAGGTGCGGTTTACGCTTGACCAAAACGTTAGGCATAGTTCCGGTCTTCACTTCACCCAAAAAGGTGGATATTGGTCCGATTCATGCTTGAGTAAAAAAGGTAGTCATAGGTCGAATTCACACTTGAGTCAAAAAGATTGTTTACGCTTAACTCAAAAAGGTAGGCATGGGTCCAGGTCAAGCTAGAGTCAAAAAGATAGGCATGGATCCCACCTACGCTTGGCTCAAAAGCGTAGGCATAGGTCCGATTAACGCTTGAGTCGAAATGGTAGGCATAGGTCTGGTTTCCGCTTGACGCCAAAAGGTAGGTATATATCCCGTTTACGCTTGACACTAAAAGGTAGGCGTAGGTTCTGTTTACCCTTGACTCAAATACGCAGGCATAGGTTCGGTTGACGCTTGATTAAAAAAGGTAGCCATCTATCCGCTTGACACATGACTCAAAATGTAGGCATAGGCCCGTTCTAAGATCGAATGAAAAAGTTAGGCATAGGCGCTTTACGCTTAACTCGGAAAGGTAGGCATAAGTCGGGTTCACGTTTGAGTCAAATAGGTCCAGTTTACGCTTGACTCAAAAACATGGGCATAGTTTCAGTTCACGCTTGACTAAAAAAGTTTGCATAGGTCCGAATCACTCTTGACTCAAAAACGTAGGCATAGGTCCGGCTTACGCTTGACAGAAAAAGGTAGGTATATGTCAGGTTTACGCTTAACACAAATAGGTGGGCATTGGTCCTGTTTACGCTTGTCAAAATGTTAGGCATAGGTCCGGCTTAAGCTTAACTCAGAAACGTAGGCATAGGTACGGTTTACGCTTGACTCAAAAAGTTAGGCTTAGGTTCAATTTATGCTTCACTCAAAAAGGTAGGCATAAGTCCAGTTTACGCTTCACTCAAAAAACTAGGCATAGGCCTAGTTTGCGCTTGACTAAAAAAACTAGGCATAGATCCTTTTTACGCTTTTGTTAAAAAGGTATCCATAGTTTCTGTACACATAAGTGTCATAAAGACACATGAGACGCTGCCTGGCATTTTGAGGCCTGTAAATCAATGGGATTTTCGAGGCTGTGTTTGATTTATTGATCTGTTTATTTAGATCTCATCAACCTTTTGTTGATTATTTGAATTCAGAAAATATTTTTTAAATGGTAAGCATTTTGGGGAGATATTAATGATTTTTACTTGTAGAAGTTCTACTAATTAACCCATAGCTGGGGAGAGAAGAGGTGGATTCATACCTTTTCCAGAGGTATTTGCGCGTAAGTGAATATAATGAACTTGACTGCAATTAGATCTCGGCTCTCCAATTTCAAGCTCTTCTTCATTACAACATTTGCACGTCCAAACTTACAACATTTGGTATTTCCAAGCGGTTAACCACCTAGTTATTGACCAGGATCGACGTTGCTTAACTTCAGTGACGTACGAGAACCAGTGTTTCAACATGATATGGTTGTAAGCACTTGCGACAGCAATGCCGACGAAGAACCAATTCAATTGATGTTTTAATATACGCCATAATTGAACAAATGCCTTAACATTTTATGGCAGACGCAATTCTCTAAAATAAAGAAATGGCTGCGTAGCAGAATGAAACAATGGGAAAGAACTTGCCAAGGGTCATGTCAGATATCGTTGCTAAAATCTTACTTATTATAAAACGCAGATTGTGTGTGTGTGTGTGTGTGTGTGTGTGTGTGTGTGTCTGTACGTTTATATATTGGATCGGATTTCCTACATTTTTCAACCGATTTCAACAAAACTTCACAGGATTACGTAGAATTACCTTGCGGTGGTTCCGACAGCGCCAAAAATTGGAAAAACACAATTGTTTTTGCACGAAATCAATTTGAAAACACGATTAAGAGGCATCGCGAGAATGAAAGGGGGACAACTCATATCGAGTTATACTTATTATAAAACCCATGTTGTTTGTGTGTGTGCGTGTGTGTTCGTTTATATATGGGATCGGATTTCCTACATTTTTCAACCGATTTCAACAAAACTTCACTTTTTCTTTGGCAGGTAGTGTTTCTTATTGTCTTGCACACTTTTTCTTTATTTTTACATTGAGAATGCTTTAAAAATTCCATTTACAAGACAATTGTTTATAATAAAATTCTATTCAATCGGTAGACTCATAACGATTGAAAACAATGTTTTTGTTTGAGTTTGGGTTTGACCAATTCGTAAAAAACAACAACAAAAAAAAAAAATCAAACTAACAAACTAAGACATGCGTGTCCGTCAACCTTAAACAATAATCTTTGTCAATTTTATTTTTCAGTCTTTATGATGGTCGATACTTGATCTATCTCTTATTGTTACATCCCCGGGCAACGCCGGGCTCTACTGCTAGTTCTATATAAGTCGCGACGAATTTTTTGTGTGGATTTTTAGAAAAAAAATAAATTAATGACATTGTGGTTACGCAAATTTTATGTTGGCTGAGTAGGTACTTCAGCGAAAAATATTTAATAGTCAGACAAGTGTTTCTCAACGTTTTTTTATTTTTTTATTTCAGGGTGCACTTATAGAATAACTAAAACTCTGGGAGCACACTTTAAATTTTAATAGGGAATATCATGAAATTTGAAAATATGAAAATAATGAAGTCTCCTGAAATAAGCATTTATTTTTAAGACATTAAATCGTATATTTAAGTCTGTTTGTGTGCAACCCGTGCTTGATGTGCTTTGACAACTTTTTCAATGTTAGGCCTTATATTTTATAAATGTTAAAACTTATATATGAAGATTCGTGGTACAGTTTTCATATAATGGAATTTATAAAGAATTTACTATTTTTTATAGTCCTATTTAAAGGCAAAAGGGAAAGGACTATCCCCTACTTCTTAAATATTAAAGAATTTAGCATCCAGTTTAAAATCTCAAATGACAAAGACTTGACTTAGATATGAAATCTATGTATTTAGTTTTTCTAGCGTTTTAAAAATAAAGACTTTTTAAATGTAAAATTAATTCATAAATTACTCTTCTGTTAACTTGGGGTACACCTGGTTATCTTTCAGGGCGCAATAGTCCGCCCGAGCGAATCGATTGTGAGATGCTGGGTTAGAGAGGCGTGTCTATCTCCAAGAAAGCTTCCCTGTCTTCTCGAAGATATCTTACCACCAATATATCAATAACAGAAATGAAATAATGAATTTAAACAGATCAGTTCGTCATTGTTGAGCGAAGACAATGTTATCGTATTTACAGGGAGAGAATTTCACCAAATTTATTATTTGCAGAAACAAGGAAATGAGTTTGAAAAAGAAGCCTTCATTGCCAAATCAGATATATTCCGAATAGTTTAGTTAAGAAATGTGTAAAGGGTTTTTTTTCTCTCTCTTTCAGCTGATTGCAGAAACAGAAGTAAGAGGCGAAGAAAAACGTAACGTAATACAAAAAAAAAAAAAAAGAAAAAAGAAAAGAAAAAGTACAATGAACGAAAAAAAAAGAAGGATATCAGCAGCTGAGAAAGCCGTGATGCTTACGGAAAAGACATTCTTGGGTAATTGAATTATGATGGAACATTGTCGAATTTTGCTGATAGCAAAATCACTTATACTGAAAACTCTTGCGTTTTTTGTAGAACAAGGGAAAAAAAGTTGGGAACAGTTAGTAAATAATGATAGCGAGGGTTAAAGAAACGTAAACAAAGGTGTAGGCAAAAGAGAAGATGAGGCAAGAGATGGATGAGGAACAGGAAGATGAGAAAAATGCATTTGAAGTGAGGATATGAGGGAAAAAAAAGAGAATTTCGGAGTTAAAAGTTGGAAAAGAAGAAGAGATAAAGAAGCGAAAAGATGGAAGAAAAAAATTGAGTGTTTAGGAGAAAAACGAAGAAAGAAATGAGAAATTGAATGAATGAGAAAATATTTAAAAAAGGAATAAAAAAGAAGAGGCTGTATATAAAAAAGAAAGGGATGAAACCGAGGAAAAAAAAGAGAGAGAGAAAAGAAAGGCAACGATAAGATGAAACTTGAGTTTTATAATTATGTAAACAGAAGAACGAAACGAAATATAAGAAAAAGAATAAAAGAATACAGGAAGGCATAAAAGAAAGAAGAAAAGAAAGAAAAATGTAAGGAAGGAGAAAAGGAAGAAACGAAAAAAAAATGAAGAAGTAATAAAAATAAAAAGAAGGTAACAGAAAGAAAGAAATAAAATAAAGAAGGGAGAAAAGAAATAAGGAAAGAAAAAATGTTAATGTTGATTGGTTGATTTTGTTTAGCGTCATATCAATCTCTACGGATTATTTAATATTATTTAATGCCGAAATCTAAATACTTTTAACAGAATCTTATGGATCCAACTAAAATGTACTATTGGTCATTTTGCTATAAAATGTATTGCTGGTAATTCTACTATAGAATACATTGCTGGTGATTTTAATTTAAAAATGTTAAAGGATTTTTTTATTTGGTAAAACCCTACGAAAAAAAAATAGTTCAAACAATCGTTTGAGGTAACATTTAATTTATAATGGCACATAACACGGCGACACATTCCGAGTTTTAAAAAACAGACGATAAATCTAACACACAAATGAAAGAATTACACAAATTATGTTCTTTGTGTGTTAAATGATGGCCGATAACATGTATGTAAAAATAATCTGCGTAAATAAAATATGCCTCTTTGACAATAAAAATTACAATGTTGCATTCAGTCCTCAGAAAAGATACACAACATTTAAAATAAATGAAGAAAAGGGAAAAATACTTCTCTAAATAATTTTCAAAGAATAATTTGGTACAATTTTCGAAAGCAAAGTTCATGGTATCCGCAAAGAACAGAACAATCACACCAGTCGAAGAATTTTCCTTGATGTGAGAGCGACTTTGATGTTCTTTTCAATTCTCGTCTGATGGTCGTCAAATTTCTTCTTTGTTATTTTACTTCCTTGACCGAGCCGACCTGGGTTTATGCAGCAGCTGTTCGCCGACTCCTCAAATTCAATTCCTGGTTTTCTTTTTATTCACTCAAATAGGCTCCAGATTTCCCTTCTCGGAATTTGGAGGGAAACTTTTTGATTGGTTCCGAATGAAAGACAAACGCAGCTATTTTCCCACAAATCGAAATGTACCAAAAAATATTTTTGAAATTTAAAAGTTTAAGCAAGAGTCCAGCCCAGCGTCTGTTTTCTCTCAGTAAAGCAGACGATACACGTTCAATTCGCTTAAATTTCTTACAATGTATTGTTGGTAATTTTGCTATAAATATGTATTGTTGGTAATTTTTTAAATATAAAAATATATTACTGGTATTTTTACTATAAAAATGTAGTTTATACTTCCATAGTGTTTTGTTTTTGCTAGCTGGGACCCTAACAGGTGCTACCATGAGAACAGTAACAATTAAGAGGTGATTCCACGTTCCTCAAAACCTCCAAACTCTCGATCAGAGGCCTTGCTGCCGGATTTAGTTTATCGTCATACCCAGGACGTGCGAAAGAAAGAAAGATATAGAAAAGGAGTGAAAAATGGAGAAAAGAAAGAAAGAAAGAAAGAAAGAGGAAGAAAGAAGAAAAATATTTTGGTAATTTTCAAGGAAAATAATATCAAGAACCGTAAAATATTTCTCTTGAGTTCTTCATGCGTCACACGATTCTGTCCAATGTATATATATATATATATATATATATATATATATATATATATATATATATATATGTGTGTGTGTGTGTGTGTGTACATACAAAGTAAGAAAGAAAGAAATAAAGGAAGGTAGATGAGGCAACAACGTTCTCCAACATTTAACGTCTGCTTCAGTCAGTTAGTCAGTTATGTATCATGCGTGATACACGCTTAGATGATCATGTATCTTTCGATACATGACTGACGAGGCAGATTTTTTTCCGGCAGTAGGTTGCCATTTCTTTTTGCGGTAGACTACTTGCCATCCAAGGCTATAGAACCCGGTCTGTCCTGCTATTTACCCATAGCTAGGAGGGGGGGGGAGAAGAAGAGGATTCATACCTTTCCCAAGGGTATTAGCACGTAAGTGAATTTCAGTCAGTTATGTGCCGTCCGTGATACACGCTTAGATGATCATGTATCTTTCGATACATGACTGACGAGGCAGAATTTTTTAACTGCTGTAGGTTGCCATTTTTTTTTGAGGTAGACCAGCTACTATCCAAGGCTACAGAACCCAGTCTGTTCTGCTATTTACCCATAGCTGGGGAGGGGGGGAAGAAGAGGATTCATACCTTTCCCAAGAGTATTAGCATGTAAGTGAATGTAATGGTTTCGACTGGAATTCGAACTCGCCTCTCCGAGGAATCGGACACCCGAGTTCGAATTCCATTCGACTAACGTCTGCTTCAGTGAAATGTAAAAACTGCCAGTTTTAAATTTTTTTCATTTGTACCACCTTATTTCTTTAAATTATGACTTGCAGTCATATTTATGATTAATTGTAATATTTTGTTAAAGTTGTTAAATATTTAACAATTATCAAGTCCTTCCTAACAGGTAGATCCCTGAATGTCGTTGTTAACGTCCAGCCACTGGAAGCTCATAAGATCAATATCGGCGTTTCACAGAGTCCTTTCCTCGGTCCTAGTCTTTTTCTACTCTATATAGATGTTCTACCTAACAGCATACTCCGGTCATTAACTGAGTATCTATGCAAATGATACAACAGTTTATAGGCACACTTCCAACAATCTAAAAGAGCAGAACCTCGCAGCTCATCTCCCGTCTGACCCGACCCAGGTGGTTCAACGGCGGTAGTACTGGCTTGTAAAATTCAATACGGTTAGAAAGCAGTAACACTAGTAGCGTCCCACCACCGCAGTAGCACTAGTAGCGTTCCACCACTGCCGAGCAGACCTCTAACTTTCCGCTATCATTAGGGATGGGTGTTTTCTCAAGAAGGCTCCCTGCCTTGAACGTCTATTGAACGTCCGTCCTGGGTATAACGATAAACTATGTTCAACAGCAAGGCCTCTGATCAGGAGGTTTTGAGGAGTGTGGAACCACCTCTTAATTGCTGGTGTTCCCAAGTTCACCTTAACCCGGGCTGGTAGCACCTGTTAGGGTCACAACTATGGGTAAATAGCTAGCATTCAAACTGGGGTTAAAACACTATGTAAGTCTAAAAATGCGTTTTAATACCAGAAATACTTTGTAAAAAAAATTATTACAAGCAATACATGTTTGAAAAACAAATATTACCAGTAATACATTTTTTAAAAAAAATATTACCAGCAATATATTTTTGAAGAAAAAGATATTACCAGCAATACATTTTTGAAGAAAAAATATTACCAGCAATAAAAATTTTATCGGCATTAAATAACCCATTGAGGTTGATATACCGTAAAACAAACCAAACCAAGCTATTGAAAGTCATCCCAGACCTCAACTGGAAATCATATATCCGATCTATTGTTAAAGATGCTGGAAAAATGATCGGTTACTTGAACCACACCAGTAAGTATCTGACTCCCCCCTGCTATAGTCTATCTTTGCAAGAGCAAGACCAGAACAAAAATGGAGTGTTGCTGCCATATTTGAGTTGTAGCTACCCAGTCTCTATTTGCATGTTTTAAGTTCAAAAACGTCTGCTCGGACTTGTAGGCGATTGATTATTTCCCACCCGAAAACCTTTTCCCCAGCAGATACTATTTCTATGCCGTTCTGACTAGGACCACCACTCCAGACCTTTACAACTGGGACCCACCAGGCTTCGTACACAAGAGTGAATCATCCGCATTCCCTGCGTATTCCACTAGTAAGAGGTAAGTTCCATTCTAAAAGCTTGCTTCCCAAGAGCTGCTGCTTTGTGGAACAGACTCTCGGCAAGATGTTTTCCCAAACACTAAAGTCCTGCGTATGACTATAAACTATATCCTGCAGCAAGTACTCTGATCGGGAGATTGGAGGTTTTGAGCAGTATGTGACCACTGCTTCATTGCTGTTGTTCCCAGATCGACCTTGGTTAGATTCCCAGCTATGTGAATATAGGGAACCCGCAAGCAAAAATAATAAAAAAGTAAAAAAACTATGAAAGTATACACATATATATTTATAGTAAAATGACCAACAATACATTTTATCTGTAGTTGCAGCCATAAAATTGTGTACAAAATATTAGAATTTGGCATTAAATAATTCATAGAGGTTGATCAAAATCAACCAACCAACAATACCTATTTATAGTATATATTTAGTTGAAGCCATAAAATTTTGTTCAAAATATTTAGATGTCGACATTAAATAACTCATAGAGGTTGATATGCCGCTAAACAAAATCAACCAGCCAACAATACCTACTTATAGTATATATTTAGTTGAAGTGATAAAATTGTGTTCAAAATATTTAGATTCCAGCATCAAATAACCTATAGAGGTTGATATGCCGCTAAACAAAATCAACCAACCCAATCAATATAATGTTGATCTCTTCAAATCTAGGGTTAATCGTTATATTTCATGCATAACCCTATGCACTTCACTTTTCTTACGCTCATACACCACCACACACTAACCCTCTATCTTAAGCGGTCGTTGGGCTTTATTCGGATCATTTCTGAAGATCTATGTTGAATGTATGGGTGGAAATCTATAACTCCTGGTGACCAGAGATTGGCAGCTGTTTTCTCCTCCGATCTAACTCAGTCGGGGGTAAATTGGCTGTTTGCCTTCAATATCTTGAAAACCAAACTAGTTACATTCCATCATCATCGATCGGACCCTGAACTACCACCAGTTACGATGAATGGATGTTCCCTCACGGAGACCCCATGTCTTGACCGAATATTGGGTTTTAAACTCACTTCTGACTTCAAGTGGAATTCGTACACCCGATCCGTGGCTAAAGATTCAGGAAAAATGGTCGGTTCCCTGTATCGCTCCATTAAGTACCTGACTCACCGTGCTATTTTCTACTTTTATGCAAGGCGATAAAGCCGCTATGACGCTGGGTGTTAAATGGAGTGAAAGAGAATGAGAAGACATTAGTGAGGAAGAAAGGACAATAAAAGAATAGGTTTCAGGAAGATAGAAGATGGCGATAAGGCCACTAAGACGCAAGAGATTACCGGGTGTGAAAGAGAATGAAAAGACTTTACTGCGGAGAAATGAGGAAAAGAAACATGATTTAGGAAGACAGAGGATGTAAATTGAAATTTGAACGTTGAGTATGGTTTTCTAAATTCTCCAAATACTGTTTTTTACAATAATGTTCACTAAATACAAGGCACAAGAGCCACACAAAGTAGAGGGTTAC